CGTACATGTTGCGCTTCGGCCATCCCCGCTTACGCCGCCATCTTGTTTWTTTTTCTTCAAGGCCGCTCGCTGTTCGTTGACGGTGTTTTATTTTTTCTTATAAATTATTGGTGTTACAAAGAATACTAAAGTTTGGATAATATACATGGAGAACTTAGGTTGAAAGCAGTGTGCAATTTAGTTTAGAATTTTTGCATTTTGTCAGTAAATGCGTTCTTAGCGAGAAGTCCAATAATAGCAGGAATCCTTTTCAGCGGTAATACACTATATGCAGTATTGACAAAATATATTTCTCAAAATTCCTTGTACAAGCTGGAAATTGCCTCGAATCTATGTGCAAATTCTTTATTCTATTGTTTTCTATCCTAGGAATGAGGCTGTTCCCGGCGCCTGTACTTGAATCGAGCTTTTGCCGTGCAACACGACTGGCGCTGCCGTGCCACGTCGCGCCGAACTCAATTGAAACTTCGAGCTATCATGATGTGCTAAATTCAAACTATTTGGTTAAGTTCGGCGCGACGCTAGCTCGACGTATGAACCGGGCCTAGCTTTGAGCTATACTGATTCGTCCTCAGTCGTTCTCGCGCGCAAGGCATCACTGGACTTGAAGGAGGTAATATGGGAAACGTTCCCATCCTYMCCATCTTCAATATTCAGCAATAGAAAATTTGCGAAACACAACCATGATGCACTACGTAATTGTTCTTTTCACGTGACGTCCCATTTATGACCTCTTATGCCTATCATAAAAAGTCTATTGTACATTATATGTATTTTATAAAAAAATATCCCTTTCGGTTTTTAGTTGAATTGGGATTCCTGTGGTGCATGGCCCTATTTCCCACTAGGGAAGATGGGGGTAAGTAAGTAAAGTAATGAATACAAAAAGTACAGGTATCCCGGTATTGCTCAACCACGTCTGTCGCGTATTTCACGAATTTGATCACTGAGTCTGCTGGCAAGGAATACTGATACTAGCTGTAGCACTAATATCCCAATAGCTATTCCTCCAAGTAGCGCCCAGTTATTTGTCAGCCACACAGTCCCYTGTTGAACGCAGCCGAAAGTATTGATTGCTTTCAAAGCGTTGATCTTTTGAAGTCCTTTTAATTTGGGATCACGGGCACCGAAACCACACTGACGATTTTCTTGAAGGTCTTTCTTACAACAAGAGAAAGGGACTCCACATCTAAAAGACAACAAACATCAAATTGAGTTAGTTCTTATAGATTGTTTATAACTCTCAAGGTATGCTCACTCGTTTGTTAGTCCAGAAMTGGACSCTCTTTTTTCAATGACAATGTTATTATATGTAAAAGTTAGAAATCTATAACGCGCGCACTAAGAAGGCCCGGTTCATACGTCGCGCCGAACCAAATAGTCAATTGGTGTCGACCCAAATACATTTGGCATRGTACGGCGGTGATTCTTACATCGAACCAAATGCAGTCAAAAGCATTAAGAAACAGTCCTATAACACGCAATTTAATTTTTTTTATTATTGTGCGTCAAGCTCGGMACGACGAKAGCTCAACATTTGCTGAATCATCGTCGAGCTTTTGCCGTGCAGCACGACTGGCGCTTCCGTGTATTTATGTGCTAAATTCAAACTATTTGGTTCGGCGCGACGCTGGCTCGACGTATGAACCGGCCCATTACGTTGATTCAATTCCGCGAGCGCAAGGATAAAAGAGGGCCTGCATGGCCTAACTCGTTGTCTGACTTTTGGTGCAAAAGCTGCAAAAAGCGACAGCTTAGACCAATTATCAATAWTCCAAGGCAGAACCTGGTCACACTCGTCTTTCTCTGTATAAATTCACCWTGATGCTGCTAAAGAAGAACTTTCAACTTCTTAGCTTATAATGGCTATCTCRGCTTACCTTCGTGATGAACCAAGCGGTGCGCTACAATTAAAATACACATTCGCCTCCCAGTCTTGATAAGATTCCGCTCCACAGCACTCCCAATCGGTCTGCACAGCATCAATGATGTTCTGCAAATCAAGATACTTATCCCCAGCCGCTCTGTATACAGGTATGATACTCTTCACCTTTTTAGATATCGTTGTCTCGAGCTTATCGCGGAATACAAACGCCAAAACAGCACACGCGATTACGATTAGTATAATGGCCAATATTATCCCTATGTACAAACGTAGGAGTGTTGTGTTTTCACGCACGGCTCCAATGCATCCAATGAAAGTGATTATGAAGATGATGCCACCAGCAATGAGTATAAAAATCGATGGCTGGAATTTTAAGTCTGCCATGTTTTTGAAGTGGTCTTTGGATTCGACGATGATGTAGGCTCCGATTGCTATAATTAATATCGACAACAGCCAAAACAACATGTTGAGTATTATCAGTGTATACTGAATGCATCGTGATGGGCCCTGTTCTGGCTGGTGTGCTCGTCTTGGCTGCACTCGACGGCCGCCCGCCATCTTGCCTTCCTATATGAAAACGATTTTTCAGTAGAGTGGATTTCATAGAGTCATTTTCATCCGTCTGTGAAACAATCACTACTAGTCAGTGTTTAAKAGCAACTATTAGGGTATAGAAGGCTACCAAAAGTCAAAATCACAACCTTGTTTGCCCAATTAGTTTTACGCATGTCATAGAAGTTATAGCATTAATTTAATAGTATAATTCCTATTTCACAGACGGGTGAAATGGCTCTAAACACGTGAGACAAAATGTGATAGTTAAACTGTGACAAACCAAAAAGACAAACTTTGAAAACGTGCAAGAGTAATAAACTGAAGTTAAWGGCTGAACAAAATGTACATAAACGGAAATCAGCTGAAACTTCGTCAGGAGATTGTAAAATACATAACARGACGTGAGAGTTTTTTCAATTTATTAAAATCTAAGCGAGAAACTTCACGATTTGACAAGAACACCACATAAACGTTTCAAAATAATGCTTAAATATAGAGGGGAGGGGTGGTGTACATAAAAACCGTTTCTTTAAGCTTGTTCCATCGTGTCAACAAGACATTAAGGTTCACTAGGGCCAATATTAGTATTGATTTATATTTAGACACGACTGCGCAATATTTATCGGGGGATGAGATATGAGCCCCCCCTCCCCCCCCAAAAAAAAAACAAAAAACAAAAAACAAAAACAAAAACAAAAACGAAAAAGTTCATTATAGCACCCCCCCCCTCCAGTTTCAGTTTCCAAGTGAAGTTCTAGTTCATTTTAGACGTTGTCCCCCATCTAAAATAGTGCTCAGTCCCTAATTGTGAATATTAATACAATACTGTCACTACAAGTAAGCCATATACAAATGTATATTCCATTTATGGCGTGAAACTGCTTGTTTAGGGACTTTTGATCTCGAACACTCATTATTGATGAATATTCAGTCTTTTAAGATTTAAAAATCTTTTTAAAAACAATGAAAATCAGCAATTTGTGAGAATAAATTGTTGATTTTCGATTGTCGTACGAATTTTTATCGATAAGTTCCCAAAGGTTGTTGAGATTCAGGTTTATTGACCTACTAATGGTTCCAGTGTTAGAGCTGTTAATACGACACAACACGACATTCAATTGGTTTTCGATTGTCGGACCAATGTGTATCGAATGAGCTCTATTATGTAGAGCGGTCGCAAGTTTCCTACGTTTATTTATCGATGCCAAATATTAATTGTTTTCGATTGTCATTCCAGTTTTTCATCAATAACTTTCATTCCCAGTTTCGATTCGTCAAGTAATATTTAGAATATTTACATTTATGTGTCTCGGTTATGACTACAATTGTAGTCGTCGCCTGAAATGCTTACAAAATCTCACTGATATAATATTTATATAGTTCAGTCGCCAGCGCGTTTGTGTTTATGAAAGTTGTGAATTGCTAAACARTGAATCTTATATGTTAATCAACTTCAAAGGTGCTATATATATAATGCCAATTATATTCAATACTATGGAAGTGACTGATCTAGAAAAATCACCAAACAACTTACCGTAGTCAAGTCAACGCTGTGTGCAAAGCTTTAGAACTTGTTTTTCAGACTTCTTTACAATGTTATTGTGAACTTTCGCTTTGCCGCTTATGACGTATATTGACAGAAGTACTTCTTCATGSCTTGATTACTGCATAAGAATCAGACTGGCGTAATTTGCCAAAATCTATACAAGATACTTAATTAAACTGCCATATATATGTCGATCTATTATTCCTACTTAACTTGTGTGATATAAGTTGCATTTGTGTAGGATTATACGTTATTTTCATAGTAAAAAAACTTAAATTAGATATGATCTCATTGGACAAAATTAATTAATATAACCTTTGACGTCAATTCATTCATGAACGCAATGGGGGAGGGGAGGGAGGGGAACTTTGGAAAAACGCGAGAGAGACTGGGAAGGAGTTGCTCGAGAAGAAAAATGGCGCTCGTAATAAAAAGTTCACGAATCGTTTTGAAAGATAAAATTCATTCTGGTTGTGTTGAGGTTCACAATGGGAAGATTACAGCTGTTGAGGACACCTTTGATGCGTCCAAGTATAACAACATAAAGGTTTGTTTTAAGTATAAAGTGTGTTTAGCTAATGCTACTGCTGTCGTGCAAATATGCTCTGCATGCAACCAGCTGCAGAGAAGCGTGCAACCCGTGAAGAAAAGGGGACAGCTGCGCATTGTCCTTTTTTTGTAAGGTGTCGCGTTTTAAGCTCTACAGAAGAATTAAAATATAGATATAATATTTTATGTCAAGAAAACATAGACTTCTTTGGATATTTCGTTATTTGTCGACTCCAATATTTGGATGAAGTTGGTGTTGCCTTGACTTCCAGGTAATAGATGCTGGAGACATGGTGGTTATGCCTGGGATTGTCGATAGTCATGTCCATATAAATGAGCCAGGAAGAACTCAATGGGAAGGATTTGAGACTGCAACGCAAGCTGCGGCATCTGGTGGAATAACAACAGTTGTTGACATGCCTCTGTAAGTAATTGACCTAGACCCCCTTTGCCAAAATGTCCRCCTYTCATTAGCATAATTTTTCGTTTTAACTCAGGACAATACTTAAAAATAAAACTTACTTTATAAGCTCGAAAAATCGCAGTAGTACATATTTAGAATTACATATTTACTAGRTTTTTATCACAACTGCTCCTTTAAGTCAAGCTGRGACAGATCTCAAGGGGTAACAATTGGGCATTGCTCATCATGAATTTTTTCCCTATCAGGAATTCAATTCCACCAACGACCACAATGGATGGTTTCCAACRAAAGCTTGCAAGTGCMCAAGGRAAGTGTTGGGTGGATATTGCATTCTGGGGAGGWGTTGTCCCAGGCAATCAGGTAAAAGCATTGTTTTGTCTTTTGTCTTTAATGTATAGCCATAATTTAGCYGTTATTTTCTCTGCTTAACTTTGAAAGATGAAGGAATCCTAAAGCTAAAGCATTAGCATCGGATTTACAATCCTAGACAAAATTGAATGGGACAGAACGCTATTCAGATGTACTCTCTTATGGGCTGTTTTAATGCTTACTCAAAGCCTCGCCCCTACCCCCACAGTCAATGTTGGTTAACAATGTTGATGGCAGGAATCAACAACAATCAATAACTGTGATCATCATACACAATCAGAATTAAGTTAAAATTCAATGAGGTTTTAAAAACATTAAAACAAAACTAGTTTAATTTTTGACTGTGTAAAGTGTGTGAAATCTTGATGACAATTTTAGTTTAAAATGCTCTTTTTTWAAAAATAAATCACTTGTTATGTTATTTGTGTGTTTCTAAAGGCTGAGCTTAAGCCGATGATGAAGAAAGGAGTTTGTGGCTTCAAGTGCTTTCTCATTCACAGTGGAGTTGACGAGTTCCCACATGTTGTAGAAAGTGATGTCTGTCAAGCCTTGGAGCTAATGAAAGATTCTAATTCTGTTCTTTTGGTAATAAAAAGTCAACGCAAACTTAGATACGATTATCCTNTTCTGAAAAATATGGGTAGGTTGTTGTCATTATATTATATCCATGAATTCCTAATCCATTTCCATCTGTCATTTTGATTAGAGAATCAGTTATAGACAATGTCTCCATTCAATCTAGAGCATAATGGAAAACTAATRAGCAAGTTATTGCTTGTATTACGGTGTAGATTACCTTCAAACATTRAAATYTTTTGTTTSCYAACTAGTGTTCATTGTCAYATTGTTCAYYTGTCTTCGGCAAGTGCTCTTGGCTCCATACGGAAAGCAAGGGCTGCTGGGATACCTCTAACAATAGAGACAACTCATCATTATTTRTCGCTAACTTCTGAGGACGTCCCTGACTGTGCAACTCAGTTTAAATGCTGCCCTCCAATCAGAAACAAGGATAATCAGGTAACTAAAATTAACTGTAGATTCTTAACTTTCATGTCGAAATGGGCTGGCTTGTTAAATCTCGATTAGTGTTAATTCAGGGTTAACTCCATATGTTTTTTAAGAGTTAACCCAGAATTAGTGCTAATCGAGCTTCCATCAACCCGACCCTGGTTTTCACTTAATGCTATAAAACATAGGGGCAAAGCAATAGATTTTTGGATTTTAGAAGAAATTAAGAAGAAATTAAGTTGGTGCTTTTCTTTGTTTGTTCTTTTTAACTCGAAGATTGCGAAGCAATCGAAGAGTTATTGGAGGGGGACGAATCTGTCACTCACTCAATCACTCACTCAGTCACTAACTTTCCTGTAATTTATATATTTAATTAACTTCAGCCTGATCTTATGCGTATCGCTAGCTTATGTAAACTTATGTCTTATACATGTACCACACTGTTGACTTCTTGGAGCTTCTTAASGAGCTTATATGCCTTTGCKTATGTCCTAGTGAAAACCATGCTTGATTGTCTTGTCATTTTTTATTCTCATSAAATTGTATGAATCAT